ATCTTCAGAAAAAGAAAATATTTTGCGAAAACGAAGCCCTACTTTCTTATATACCTCAAAGAGTCAGTTGATCTTTTTCTTCGATCAATCACGCAAAAATTAAGCGAGATAAACTATTATGTAGAGCTACTTTCTCTCTATAAAACAGCGTACAACTGAGCTTCAATCATCACGAGTAAAAAAGATATTATATAGCGAAGTACATGTATTTATATTTTGAAAAGTGTTTAGCCCATAATTTTTTACTATGATAGTAAGAACACTTGATTGTTTCACATTTGAGATAGGTATACTTAGGTCAACACTTTCACATAATTTCTATTGAAATCCTCTGGTTACACCTGAGATGTTCCGTTGTTAGAGGTATTACCTCTTCTTATTTTCTAAACATAAATTGTTGTATTGAACTTATATTAAAAAATACTCTTGATGCAATGTAACAACATGAATTATCAAGTTTATTATTTCATAGACTTTTACAATATCCATCTGTATTTTTGGTTATCGGCCTTGTCTGTCAATAAAATAAATATTGTGTAACGATGTTGAAGAAATACAGACCTATGAGTAGTTTATAAAAACCAGCACAGTATGCAAACACTGTCTCATGAGTAACTGAGGATAGGTTTAGGTAGTAAAATCATTATAGTATTAACCCTCACTCACATCCTCGTTTTCTGTTAATCTTACAATCAACAAAAAATTGAATGATATTTCAAATTAGTTTTATTTAAATTTGTAAATGAAAAGCAACCGAAGCAATGAGTTATTCAGCAGAGAGTGGTTTGATAGTAGTTGTATCATCCATAACAGCAAGACTCATCACTGGTTTATGTCGATTATTGTGTGAGTTAACACCATGAAAACCACCAGCCACGTAACACGTCTTTGATTGATTCGTCGACTGATTCTCTACTAGTACCGGTACGACAAGTGAGTTGAGTTGAATACGTTGAATATCACACTTTTTCTCTTCATGGAGTCCATAGCAAAGACGAAGAAACCATCCACTCACATCTGTTCCTGTCGGACTGGAAGGAAAAGAGTTTCGAAAATAATTATATTTTAAACTGAAATTTCAGATTGGAAAATAAGTTACCTTCCAGAGCCTCCTCCACCCCAATGCTTGATGTCCATGACTTTTTCCAGAATTTATTATCGACTTGACCTTGATATGTCTGAATGAATTGATCGATAATAGGTAATAAACCTCTGATATAACTACCAAAACTATCCTTTGTAGAAGTACTGAACATTTGCAATTGTTCAGTCTTCTGACGTAATAGTTTCCAATCATCAAGAGTACCAACAAAGTGAACATTACGAATGCCACACTTGGTTACTATGCATCTATATTCAAAATATTGTTTGAATGTATCCATAACGGCTACACAAGAAAGTAATGATTCTATCTTGGTTGTAGTTGAAAAGTTTGAAGTAAGCATTTCGACAATATCATTTTTAACATGTTTACTTACTTCTTGGCGCATCTGCTCGAGAAAATCATTCCAACTAAATAAAAAGACAATGACTGAGATGATAGACATGCAAAACTCACTCAGGTTCAACTCCGGGCGGTTGACAAATAGTTAATAACTTTTTGCCTTCGTGATCAACAAACAGTGTACGTAATTGTTCAGCATTTTCATTGACATACTTGGAAAAATAAATACATATCATCAACCAAATATCGTCAGGAGAGAGAACAATATCTTCGTGCGAATTATAAGCTCTCAGAAAGGCTGTGAACAACGCATGATTATCACCAGATGATGTATCTAAAAATTATCCACATATTTACAATGAATTAAAAGTTAAAAAATTTACTCACGCGGCCCGTTGGCGATAATATGCTGTACTTTGTAACGTGTTGAAGTAGCTTCATTGTCGACTTTATGTATCCAGTAGTTGGTATCTGGAAGATCCTTACGGGTCTCGTACGTGTTATAATCCTTGTTGACTTTCGGAAGGCTAGCACAAATTGTTACTGTATGGTAATTCGAAGGTACGTTTTCGATGATAGAAGCAGCAGTCACACTTTTTGTGTTTTCTGATTGTGATCTACTAGAAACGTTACCCATTTGTTGTAAGAAAAGTAATAAAGAAATTGTACGCGACTATAAGATGAAGAAAAATATAACAATAATGTAATTTCAAACATGATTCATATATGACACATATGTTACTCCGATAGTGAAGCAGAACAAAAAGCAGATAAACAGAGTAGAGGTGACGAGATTGCCATTTATAGGAGTCCAACGCAGTAAGAGAAAACATAGATACCATCATAGAGGTATATACAATCTTATAATGGTAAATGAGTTTAGAGTGTGGGTGTAGACATAGGCGATCGAAGAATACAACGTCTACACTCATACCTTCAAGACAACTCGCCGTTACTGGATTGCAAGGAATATTAGATGACTAATCAGAGTTTCATGACTTTGATTATGTTTGAATAGAACTATTGCTACTAATTGATAAGATCCATCCATCATTTTCAGAGTTTTACTATTGCATATATTGAATTTTGAGTTGAATTCATGCATCTTTTTCAAGTCTCTTGGAAAAGTACATCATACATCGCGATGAACAATTCTGCTCTTCATATATCTGATGTATTTTTGTTCTAAAACAAATCGAAATACTCAAAAAATACTTGTTACGCATAGAGAAATAAAGAACGTGATTAAAAGTGAGTCCTGACAAAGCAGATTATTTAACAGAATCAAACAAAAAAGACATTAAACTAATCATGACTTATTTATTGATGTCTATCATTTATTGACGATGATAGTTGATATCTTATTTTTAGTTAGAACACGTTCGTTGATTAATGCAGATTTTCATCAATTCTCTTTTCTCTTTATCACGTTCTTCTTTATTAAAATCAAAGATTTTCTGTAAAATCAAAAAAAAAAGGAGAATGATGGGTGTGGGTCTGGGTGTGCATGTGGGTGAGAATAGGTGTGGGTGTGCATGTGGGTGAGAATAGGTGTGGGTGTGCATGTGGCTGAGTATGGGTGTGGGTATGGATACTCTATTCACCTAGCACCCAGATCCACCCACCCACACCGTCAAGAACAATTCGGCTTCTTATATATCTGATGAGTTTTTATTTTAAAACAAATCGAAATACTCAAAGAAGAAAACTTTTCTCAAAAACTACTTATTGCGTATAGAGAAACAAGGAACGTGATTAAAAGTAAATCCTGACAAAGCATATTATTTAACAGAATTAAATAAAAAAAATATCAAAGTAATCATAACTTATTCATTGACGTCTATCATTTATTGATGTCAATCATTTATTGACGATGATAATTGATATCTTATTTTCAGTTAAAACACGTCCGATGATTAATGCAGATTTTGATTAATTCTTCTTGCTCTTCATCACATTCTTCTTTACCAAAATCTTTTGATTTTATAGAAAATCAAAAAGAAAAAGAAAATGATGGGTGTGGGTAGATGTGGGTATGGATACTCTATTCATCTAGCACTCACATCCACATACCCACATCCTCAAGAACAATTCTGCTTTTTATATATCTCATGAATTTTGATTCGAAAACAGATTAAAATACTCAAAAAAGGAAATTTTTGTCAAAAAAATACTTATTGCGCACAGAGCAAAAAGGAACGTGATTAAAAGTTAGTTTTGACAAAGCAGATTATTTAATAAAATCAAATAAAAAAAAGACATCAAACTAATCATGACTTATTCATTGACGTCAATCATGTATTGACGATGATAGTTGATATCTTATTTTCAGTTAAAACACGTCCAATGATTAATACAGGTTTTGATCAATTCTCTTTATCACGTTCTTCTTCACTGAAATCTTTTGATTTTCTATAAAATTAAAAGAAGAGAAAAGGAACATGTCGAATTAAAATTCCATTCTGTGTTTTCGAATTTGGAAAAGAATGAAATTCAATGAAAAATATCATATTAAATCAATAGTTTTGTTCATTAATCCAATCTAAAATAATTTTTTTATCTTACTCACGACGAAACCTTCTCTAGAACACTATTTTTTCTCTTTGTCATATGTAAGAAGAAATGAATGAGAGAAAAAGAGAGAGATATAACTAGAGAGAAAATCTACAACTAGTGCCATTTTGTTTTTATCGAAGACAAAGAAGAAGAAGAAGAAGAAGAAGAAGAAGAAGACTGTTTTATTAGTTAACGATTTTATCAAAAAAAATCTTGTTGAATGATGTTGAATATCTACGTATCTATCATTATTCTTCTTTTCATTCTCAACAATGAAGCATTAGGTAAATACTTTTATTTATCACATATACTGAGGATCAACTATTGCACAAATGACATTATTCATTAGAGTTTTAGTTGAACAAAAGAGAGTCAAGTAATTAATTATAGAATTTGACAGGAATTTCTATTATATATTCAAAAGTGATGGTGCTAATCTCTTGCAGCGGCTATGTGAGACTTTTTCTTAGTTTGAAAAGTGAATGTATTTCAAGTTTAAAAGTATAAGTTGAAATACTGATTGATAGTTTCAAAACGCTTGAAAACTTGAACATTACTAGAATCTTCTTTGAATATCAAATTTATTTGTAGATCTCGCGGCGAGAATGAGACACAAGAGAAAGAAAACAAATCTATTCCATCATATCGCATTATAATATACGAAAAAAGAAAATTAATTGACTTTTTCAGATGAAATCAAAATCAGAGAAAGAAAAGATCAGGAGATTAATGTATATAAAAACAAAGTTTATGAAATTATTTGACAATTTTTTTTTGAGATAAGATGTAGATTTATTATAGAAAAATACTGTGATTGATAAAACAATTGTATTGTATTTTTGATGTACTCAAAGAGTTATATGTGTAAAAATAGAAGTGAGGTATGAAGTCAGTTGATCATCCACTTCTATATAGTTATATTTTATTTGTTCTTATAGAAAATGAAAAGGATTTAACACTTTTGAGCTGCACAGAAGGAAAGAATCTTTTTTTGGACTATATGAAATTATTTGGTAAAAATGAATACATCTGATAGAAAGAAAAAGCACAAATCGTATAATAATATAGAACTGCTTTGCGAGTGCAAATATCCAAAGCATTTTATTTAGGTCTTAATCAATTTCAATAAAGTCATTTTCATTCTAAACAATTATTTTTTTCTCCATCGAATTCATTTTGATCGAACAAATAAAAAACTATTTGATTATTTTTTTGTCTTCAATGATAATCATATTTTTCCAAGAATCAAACATAATTATTTTTCTTTTACAACAAAACAAAATAAATCAATAAATGAAGCTGATCTTCTTCGATGAATTCAGCCCTCTCTTAGTTAATATTTACAAATTATCCAAGAAAATACAACAACAATCATAGAAATCTTTTACAAAATTAATCTCATTGAATTGTTCCAAGAAAAAACATGAATTAACAATTTAGTTTCGTTTACAGTTCTTATCTAATATTTTTTATATCTTTCTTGTTTTAGCTATTTCATTCAATCAACCAAAGTTTGGCCCAACACCCATTTGGGATTCTAATGGAATTACTTTTGCTGATCAATCGATTGTCGGTGAACATCCTCTCGCTATTTTTGTGAGCAAAAACGACACAATCTATGTCGCTAATCAAGAAGATAACACAATTGTAATATGGCAAGAAGAAAGTGTCAATCCAACAAAGATCATTTCTGGTAATTTTACAGCATCCAATTCTCTCTTCGTGACATCGAATGGTGACATTTATATTGATGATGGCGAGGAGAATGGTCGAGTGCAGAAATGGAGTGCAGAAACCAATACCTTTGTCACAGTGATGAATGTTATCTCATCATGCTATGGTTTGTTTGTCGATGTCGCTGATACTCTCTACTGTTCAATGTCTGATCATCATCAAGTAGTGAAAAGATCATTAAATGATTCTGTGATGATTTCAAATGTTGTTGCTGCTGGAACAGGTGTGGACGGGTCAGCCTCGAATAAACTCGGAGATCCTCGTGGAATCTTTGTCGACGTGAATTTGGATTTATATGTGGCAGATTATAATAATGATCGTGTTCAATTGTTCCAGTCGGGAGAATCAAATGGTATCACAGTAGCTGGAAGTACATCAGTAAATCCAACAATTACACTAGAGTGTCCAAACGGAATTGTGTTAGATGCTGAGAAATATTTATTCATTGTAGAGCAACGTTATCATCGTATTGTTGGTTCAGGCTTGAATGGTTTTCGATGTTTAGTTGGATGTTATGAAAAGAGTTCACAATCCAGTCAATTGTCTAGCCCATTTAGTCTCAGCTTTGATCATTCCGGAAACATATTTGTTGCTGATCAAAGAAACTCTCGAATTCAAAAATTTTTACTGATGAAAGATTCTTTTGGTAAGTTGAGGAAAACTTGAATGAAATGAAGAGATGTGAGTAGATAAGTAACAGAATTTAGTAAAGACACTTCAATGTAAAAAAACGAAAGCAAATAAAAATGATAGTGAAAGATTGATCAAACCAATGTGTAAATGAATGCATCTAAGAAAATGAAATTGTCAGATTAGACAGGGCCATGTCTTGATCGTATAAGACAAACAATCTTCATCTTTTGGTTCAAATTAAAGAATAGAGAAAGAAAAAGTTCTGTCTTTAATGCAGTAGTAGAAATGGCTTTCATGTTTCATTTCATATGTCTCAAAGAATATTTCATCCATGAGACAGTTTTTATCGAGATAAAATCTGTTCATATCTTTGTCGATATAGTTTTGATATAAATTATTCTATAATTTGACTTCATATCTTATATTTCGATATATTTGATTCGAGGAAAATAGGACAAATAAAATGTGACAATTCTAATAACTAATTTTTCTTCTTTTTTTATGTGAAAAATGAATTTAGTCATTGTTTCTCTTTGAGAGAAATAAATTTTATTAAGAAATATTATGAAAAATGAATTTTCTCGTAAAGAAATATTTGATTGATGATTTGTTCTTTCAATAGTCATCATAATATTTAATTGTAGAGAGTAATATTCAATGGTTAAAAAAAATCTATAATTGTAAACAAAGAATATTTTCTATGAAAGAATAAAGTTATCTATTTGATAAAATAAATCAAATCTCTTATCCTGATTTTGAATAAAAATATTTATTTGTTTTATCAAATTTATTCATTTAAGATGGTCAATGAGAGAAATTGATTTTTAATCAAATCTATTTGAGATTGTTCTTAGATGAAAATTTTACATAAGTCAATTAACAAAGTTTTGCTTACATTTCTAAACTTCAATGAGCAAAATTTTTTCGATTGATAACTACTTTGTTAGTTTTACCAACAATTAAATTTCTTTTTCTTTTTCTTGAAGATGTGTAGTTAATGATTATTTTCGTTTTAAGAGAATTATTTATTCTTTTCACATGAGAATAAACATTTTCTTGTTTTGTTCTTTATCTCAAAGGAAAAATATTGAAATTTGTAAAATACTATTAAGATTGCAAAGAAAGATTTGTTTTATTTATATTGAACAAAGACGAAATATTGTGATCTTTGATGAACCTTTGAAATTTACTGAGATAAAAAATTTTCGTGCGATAATTTGTGGAAAGAACGTTTGTAGAGAGACAAGAAGGCTTTTTGCGGATCATAAAAAATTGTCTTTTTTCTCTCATTTTTTTCGTTCAGTACTGATATGACATGTAGTGACATTATTTTTTATTTCTGAACGAAATTTTATTCAGATCTTCCACAAGATTTTTCAAGAAAAAGTAATAATAAAATTTCTTATCTAAAATGATCAATATCGATGTCTTAAACAAAAATATTTTAACAATATCGCAACTCTTATTTCATATCAAAATTAATAAGAATCATTCCCAAAATCAATATTAGCAAACATTTCTAAATGTCTTCTTTATGAAAAAATTCTTTGTAGAAACTTTATTTTTCTTCTACAAATATAGAAACCAATAGCTTCATTTCGTTTACAGTTCCTCTCTAATATTCCTTATATTTTTCTTGTGTTTAGCTCTTTCATTCAATCAGCCACAGTTTTGCTCAAAAGCCACTTGGAATTTCAATGGAATTACCTTTGCTAATCAGTCGATTGTCGGTCAATATCCTCTTGCCATTTTTGTGAGCAAAAACGACACAATCTATGTTGCTAATCGAGAGAATAACACAATAGTAATGTGGCATGAAGAGAGTATCAATCCAACAAAGATCATTCACGGTAATTTTATAGCATCCAATTCTCTCTTCGTGACATCGAATGGTGATATTTATTTTGATGATGGTCACAAGAATGGTCGAGTACAGAAATGGAGTGCAGAAACCAATACCTTTGTCACAGTGATGAATGTTATCTCATCATGCTATGGTTTGTTTGTCGATGTCGCTGATACTCTCTACTGTTCAATGTCTGATCATCATCAAGTAGTGAAAAGATCATTAAATGATTCTGTGATGATTTCAAATGTTGTTGCTGCTGGAACAGGTATTCAAGGATCAGGCTCGAATGAACTCGATGGTCCTAAGGGAATCTTTGTCGATATGAATTTGGATTTATATGTAGCAGATTGTTTAAATGATCGAGTTCAGTTGTTCCAGTTAGGAGAATCAAATGGCATCACAGTGGCTAGCAGTGCATCAATAAATCCACCACTTGATTGTCCAGCTGGAATTATATTAGATGCCGAGAAATATTTATTCATTGTGGATCAAGGCAATAATCGCATTGTTGGTTCAGGCTTGAATGGTTTTCGATGTTTAGTTGGATGTTATGACAAGACTTCACAATCCAGTCAATTGAATAATCCATTTAGTTTTAGTTTCGATCGTTATAGAAACATATTTGTTGCTGATCAATCAAATCATCGAATTCAAAAATTTCAATATTTGGAAGAATCATGTGGTAAGTTTAGAATAATCGAGTAAAGTTTCTAATATCATTTCAATTAATATTTATTCAGAGAAATAGTTTATTTTATTACTATACTTAGTGATATTGATAAAAAAAAACTAATATCCTGGATTATATTTATATAACAAGAAAAATTCTAAGATAAAGATGATAATGAAGAAGTCATAAATTTGTAAGTCTATGACTTACCAGACTTTCTTAGTCCGGAATAATACTCGTTTTTGTATACGAGATTTTCTAACATTTTTATATTGTAAATATTACAACGTCTCTTGAAAAGAACTTGCGGATTTTAAGGGCTAACATTGATATTTACTGTAAAGACGCAATATAGATATTTTATCTCATGTTTTTCTTCATTTCTCTATTAAAAGCATTACTCTGAAACAAACGGTTCAACTCTTTTTAGTAAACAGAATGAAAAGCAAACCAAGAATATCAATCATTTCTTTTCTTTATTCTAAATACAAATACTCATTGATTTTTTTTCATCCAGTAGGTAATTCATTAGCTATAGAAACAACGTATTTATCATCGTTAACACCAAACAGTTCAATTTATTTTCAAGATTGTTCAACATTAGATTCGTATTATGAAGCGATACAAGCGAACGTCACTGTAACTGGTTATTATACCTTTCTAATCAACAGCGAGATGAAAACCACGCATGCTTATATCTACACAAATGACTTCAATCCACTAAATGTGTCCAATAATGTGCTGAGTCATAGTGGAGACTATGGAAATGGAAGTCAGTTTCAACTCAAAGCTTTTTTCCAAGTCAACATGAAATACATTTTCGTTACGACAACATCTTCTCGAAATATAACAGGAAATGTTTCAATTCAAGTATTCGGCCCAAGCTATATCGGTTTTAATCGTATTTGTGAGTATTTGTAGTATTTTAATGGATAATCAGTTGCACATATTCATAGTCGATAAAAAATATAGATAAACTCGATCTACAAAATGATATACAGATAAAGATATATCTGTTCGATAGATACCAAGATTTATATCACTTCCAATCACTTTCGGTAAATGTATTTGAGAGAGAGAGAGAGAGAGAGAGAGAGAAAGTAATATTTCAAATTGTTTACACTTATTTCCATATTATACAAAATTGAATCGATTTTCTTTTTCGTTAGTGAATACTTCATCAGTTGTTCAAACAACTTATACATCAGAACTGACAAGGAACAGTTCAAAGTATATGGTTAGTTGTTCGGTGGCAAGTTCTTATTATAAAGCGATACAAGTGAATGTTCATAAAAGTGGTTATTACACTTTCCTCAGCGAAAGCACTAAGGACACATACGGCGTTATTTACGAAGAATATTTTAATCCACCCAATCCAAATAAAAATCGACTCTTAGACGATGATGACAGTTGCAAACTACGTCAGTTTAGATTCACAATTGCTCTTGAAACCAGTATCACATATATATTGGTTGTGACAACGTGGTCTCCTGGTATAGAAGTTGCATTCTCAATCTTGGTATCGGGTCCAAATAATATTGATCTCAAGAGTATTAGTAAGTATTTGCACTACAACTATTAAAGGAATATCTATCAACGTTAGCATGAGTATTTAGTTGAGTTTGGCATATCCACAACAAAAACTTGTTTTGTAAGATGACATTTGTATTATGAGAAGAAAGCTTTACATAAACGGCTACATTAAATCCATCAAATAACAAAATATCGTGAATAGGATCAGATTAATCTCCTTCAATATAGACCCGCTCCAATCAATCGCTAATCTGATGTGAATAATATACAACTCGACAAGAATCCCTTCTCGTGACCATGAAATGAAAAAAACTTTGCTTTTTGTTACAGCATGGCCTATCGCTCAATGTTCCTATAATAAAAAAATGCTGCAAACATACACATACGACTTAAAGATAGATAATATAAATATATATTTACTTTGTATGAATCTAAAAGATATCTTTACGTACTTTAATTTTTGAATGAATTATAATAGTAGCAGAATTAGACTATAAATAAACAATTTTTCGTATCTAAGACGTTGGGATATTATCCATTTTCGAAATAAAGAAGTTATTCCAAACTCATTCGTGACATACATTAACGAAGGTTCGAGTACTGAAAAATATTTTTAGATTCTATTTTTACTCTCCATTTACGGCTTGATTATTTCATTTAGAGTGATATTATAGACAGTCGTCTCGTCAGAAAGCTAGGCTCAGTTTTGACATGCCTTTCAATATTCAAGGTATATAAGAGATGACTTATGATGCTCAACTTTTTTTACATCCAAACGATTCGTTTTTCTCCCAGACGATCAAGATCTATCAGGAATCTTGACTGTTATTTTTGTTTTTATCACATAGGTTCTCCATCAACCATCCAGAAACCATATTTAGATGCTGTACAATCGGCCTATTCGTCAGAACTGACAACAAATAGTCAAACATATTCTCGAGATTGTCGAAAATTAAATTATTATTATGAAACTATACGAATGCGTGTAGTAGAAACTGGAAGCTATGCTCTGATTAGTAATAGTAGTATGGATATATTTGGTTATATTTACGAAGATGATTTTAATCCAATGAATCCTTTCGAGAATTTACTGCCACAGGACTATCGAGCATGTAGTTCTCCAGATTTCAAGTTGATCGCTGATCTTTACACTGGCACTTCATACATATTAGTAGTGACTACATCTTCTCCGAATATGCTAGGAAACTTTTCCATTCGAACATCTGGCCCAAATAATATCTTTCTTGATCCTTACAGTAAGTATTTTGTATTATTTACAAATCATTAATAGAGAAGTATAGCATCCCACTGGACTCTATTTTCACTCTTGGATAATAAAAGATTTGAGAATTTCAAATAGATCGTATAATTCAGTAGAACTACTGTCCAAAATTAGAATCACATCGAAACTCGTTCTTTGGAAATTAGGCATTTATCTTCCAATCAGATAAGATTAAGACTCAGTATTGTAGCTTAGTCGGAATCAGATGAATTGTACGAGTTCAATCAGTTGGATAAATTAATACAACTTTTCTTCCCGCATCAACGATATATACGAAAAGATCTATTCTTTCGTGATTTCACATTATCTAAGATTTTATTACCTTGCAGTCTTTGAAAATCTGCCGAGTTCATATGCAGAAACGTCTTTACAAAAATGAATAAATTTATCATCAGACACTGAAAAGAAAATAGAAATATATAAATCTAATCTCGACACGACACACTATGTATAGACAAATGACTTTGATATACTATTGTTGTTTACAAATTTGTGCCTATATGGCTTTGTTAAGTTGAGAACGATTAATCTCATCTTTTGATGACCATCTATTTCTATCTTTAGCTCAAATTCTAAGGAGTTGTTTCATTGGTCAAAAATGTCAGTTCTACAAAAAAAGTATTGGTGTCACTCTCGATGATATTTTACGTGACGAAATTCGATCGAACATGACATTTACTGATCAAACAATATTGGTGAAAATCAATGCCGCTTTAACAATGATTATGTTTGTTGGAGGTTTAATCAATAGTATTTTGTCTTTAATAACATTTCAAAATAAAGATTTACGAAAAGTTGGATGTGGCATTTATCTCTTGGCATCATCAATTACTTCTTTTCTTACAATCAGTATGTTTACAGTGAAGTTTTGGTTTGTTGTTCTCACTCAAATGAATCTATCGATTCCAGTTTCTGTTGTTCGAGGAGGTTGTGTATCGATTGAACCTCTTCTCAAGCTTTGTCTATATTTGGATGCTTGGCTCAATGCTTGTGTAGCCATTGAAAGAGCGATTCTCGTTTTCAAAGGAGTTAATTTCAGTAAACAAAAAAGTCAACAAATTGCTCGATGGATACTTCTCATTTTACCATTCTTTATCATGGGCTCAATTACTCATGAACCTATACATCGAGAATTACATGAGATAAAAACAGAGACAAACAGAGCGGTGATTGATAGATGGTGTATAACTCGTTATTCTCCTTCTGTTCAACGATACAATACAATCATTCTATTTTTTCATCTTGTCGCTCCATGTATTGTCAATCTTTGTTCAGCTCTATTCATCATACTCGGATCAGCCCAACAGCGATCAGCAGCTCAAACAAGACTAACTCTAAGAGAACATATTTATGATCAATTTCGTGAACACAAACAATTATTGATTAGTCCGATTATTCTTCTAATTCTGTCCTTACCCCGTCTGATTATATCAATGTTATCTGAATGTGTCAATCCATCGAACAATCGATTATTATTTATTTTTGGTTATTTCATTTCATTTACTCCATCGATGCTTATGTTTATTGTTTTTGTCCTCCCTTCAGCATTGTACAGAAAAACATTTCAAGAAACATTCAGACGATTGCGACGACTCATTCATCAATAATTAATGTTTCTTCATTATTTCAAAGCTTTTCTAATTTATTGGTATAATATTCGCTTCGATTTCGCAATTAATCGATAAATGTCGATCAAACAGAACAACATTTTCCGTCTTTTGCATAAACTATCGGATCATGAAAGAGAAATTTGATAAATTTCTGGTGATATTATTTCTAACTTGTTGAAAAATAACGACGAAACCTCATAAGTTTCGAAAGTGTTGTTTCTGAAAAAAGCTCTCATATCAATTTCTTAGCTTGCTATTTAATAAAATTATATGCCAGTGTAGTTTTCACCCCTAAAAATATTATTTATAAACTGAAAATGATTAGACAAAATGTTGTAAGTACTAACGATAAAACAAAATAGAAATCTGCTTAATACTTTCATCGATTATTGTTAACAAAATGAATAAGATTATATTCAATGAATTAATTAGATCTTTTTTGGAAGACATCAAACGATGCATCTTTTCAGAATAACGATAAATATCAAATACGGATAGTATCATTTTTTATGTCACATTCGTATGATTATAAACTTCGTCAGCTCTCTCTCATTCGTAGCGAAGAATAAAACTCAACCAAAAATATCACTTAGATCATTTTGAAGAATGAAAAGCTGATTCGCAAAATCTGTTCTATTATAGTCATCCTATCACAAACATCTGTCTGTGGAACATCAAAAAGTACTTCACTTTGCTTCATCGTTAGTAAAACGAGTAATTAGCTAGACAAACAATCGAATTCTTCTACAATTCAATATGCCACATATAGCATTAAACCTTTGTTTATTATAACGAGAACACAATGTTCATGTCTATTACATAACATTTGATATCAATGAAATAATCTTAACAAAAACGTGGCGTACAGTTGCTATGTTGATTCTGTCGTTTTTTAGTTGACATCGTTTTTTTCGGATTTTTTCCTTTCAAAGAGTAAGTGCAATATCATGTGAAATATATGATGCATGACGAATATATATTCATTCAAGTAGGAAGAAAAAATAATAACACATCATATCACTAACATACAACGTTACAAAACACGTATTTTATCAGCAGTCTACAATGGCAAATCAAACTATCACGAACTTCCATACGTTACCGGTAGAACTTGTCTATCGAGTTCTGGATCATCAATCGGACTTTACAATGGTATGCTCAATGACCAATGTATGTCAGCGATTTAACATGATCTTAAACACATATCATCGATATCAGGTAAATTTTTCTATCATGACAGTCTAGTTTTTGTTGATTAACTCACAAATTATTTTTCATTCTTACAATCTCTATACAAATAGAATCATCTCAATAAAATATAGGCGACTAAACTATTTGTTACTTAAACTAATTTATCACGTACTAATCTCTTTCGAAAACAATGTCCTGATAATTAGAAAAGAAAGTTTCTTTTTTTATCGTTTTTTTTCTCAAGAACGAAATTTCAATAGTGATTCACTAACAAAATAAAACATTTAGTATATTTCGTAAGAGATATTTATAATTCGACGTTTTAGTATATATTCCCCTTTTAGTCATTATGAATATGACATTATTCAAAAAATCTTTTAACTCTTCCGCTTTTGCCAATCAATCTTGCTGTATACACATAACCATGTAGTCCCATCGAAAGCATTTACCGGAATGAATGGATCTTGTTACCAAAACGAACCACACCGTTTAATTTGACCAATTAGATAACTGAAACGAGGTTCTCATGCAAAACATATCTTCAATCTTCTTGATGAATATGGGCGAAATTCATTCACAGACTACTGATATGGAACTCTATTTTTCCAATACTAACAGGCGATG